GATGATCTTTGAGGTCCCTTCCAACCCAAACCATTCTATGACTCTATGATTTAATCCAGTGCAGGGGTGTGAATGGAGGGTGGGCTGGGAGCCCACTGGCATTTGAGAATCTCTCCCAGAGCTTTGGGTGGGGTGTGTGTGTGTGTGTGCAAATGAACCTCCCCTCTGAAGAAAAAGGTGCCAGGAAACCAGAGTTCTCTGGTCTGAGGGGTGGCAGCTTCTCAGGGAGCTGGTGGGACTCCTTGGGCTGCAGCAGCTCCGGTGGCCACTGGAGGGAGGGGACACAGGGCCCAGGATTCCAAATAATATCCTTGGCTGAACCTACAGAGTGTGTAAAATCTGCTTTTTTCCCCATTTCCTCAGCCTGGAATCTCCTTTCCAAGCCGTGAGGGGCAGCTCTGGAAGGGGCAATGCAGAGAAGGAGATCGATTTATGCCGATATTCAAAGGTGGAGCTGAACATCAAGCTCCGGGCTGGAGGACACCTTCTCTGAGCTCAGCAACGTGGGGCTCTGAGTTTTCCCAGCCCCATCGCCGTCCCCAGCCCCACCCCGTGTTGGTTTTGGGCCACTGGGCTAATTAAAACAGAGAGAGATTAGTGCAGACAGTCTGCCCTGGCTCTGACACCCCACGGAAAACTTGGGGGGGGGTGGTGTTTCAGCTCCTTTCCAGTCTCCTGGGACAACGAGGCCACTCTCCCTCTAAAGAACACTAAGGACGTCGTTAACATTTAATCAAAATATTCCTATCAAGCCACGATAAGCTTATACAAAGCACAATATTATTTCTCTTTCGCAGTTGGGTAAATAAAGGCACAAAAGACAGGACAGACTCGCCCCCGGGTCAGGTAAGAAAGGTGGGAATAGTATCGAGAGACTCCAATTGTTCCTGGCTTCTGATTTAGGAAGTTTAGCAGGGAGAAGGAAAAAAAAATATAAATAAAGATGGGAGGGAATGAACGTTACTTGATAAAATTTGTATTCCCTTTTACTCACTATTTTTGGGTTTGGCTTGGTTTTTTTTTTTTTTTATATCAATATGAGTTTTAGGTGGATGCACAAGCGCTTGGAACTCGGATCCCAAATCCCAACCACCATCAAAACTCCACCACAAGCTGCTCTTGCTTCAAAGGGGAACCTGCTTTGACCTATATTTCTGGCAAAACGCCCTCAATAAAGCATTTCCTGGCGTTTCTAGCCGAGGCTTCAAGAACAAC